TGTACTTTTATGACAATTTTGCTTACCCTTGGGAAAAAGATAAGCATTATAAGATGGTGTATCAATTGGAGAAAAAGTATTTTCCTGATCAGTGTTTTGATAAAGCTTTTCTTGAACCTGGGCAATCAAATGAGAATGTAAAGAAGAGCAAAAAGAAATTGGGAATTAGGGAAAAGATAATGGAGAAAGATGGTGATGGTGTGGTTGATAAAAATTTGATCTTTTTTGAGGAAGAAGAAAAGGGTAATGTAAAGAATAGCAAAAAGAAAACTTTTGATGGTGGGGTTGATAAAAGTTTGATCTCTTTTGAGGAAGGAGAAAAGGGTGTGAGGAATAGGGGTGAAAATAAGGAAGAAGGTAAAGTTGATGTATCGGAGAAGAAAGTGGAAGAGTTCTTCAAGTGTTTGAAGAAAGTTCCAAATAAGGAAAATGGTGTTGTTAGTGCTGAGCCGTTTCTAGCTACAAGGAGTACAGGGCTTCCTCCTAAATGGGATAGCCCGGGTGGGACAGTGGTATTAGTGAATAAACCAAAAGGTGAGTTTGAGCTCTTAATTGTCTTGACACTGGGATTTATTATGTGCGTTTGTTAAACGTTGATGTGTTTTTAGAAGAGTTAATATAAGAGTTTTAAGTTCTCATGTGAAGTCAATGTTAAGTTTGAGTTTATAATTGAACAAGAAACATTAGTTACAAGTTGGATTGACAGAATAGAGATTCTTAATGCAATGCTTGAGAAGTTTGACTTCATTTCCTTGTTTGATTTTTTAAAATTGTAGGTTTACTCTTAGAGAGTCTCAGAGTCAGAGATAAGCAAAACTTGTTTGGGAGTGTGATATGTACATAACGAATTCAGATAGTGTATGGTTATTGATGAAAACTGCCCAAGAGTCTTATTTTCTGTAGTGTTGTCCATCACAAAGTTCACGAAAAGGACTTATACGTTGATACGCAAAATATATTCACATAAAAGCAGAATATAGAATCAAATGCCATAAATATAATTTACGAGTCAGGATTGTCTCTTATGATCTAATATCGTAAATCCAAACCAAGGTTAGGAGGCTCTTGCATTTTGGGAAATATAGTTATTAAAGCTTCATTTTCTTCTTCTTCTTCATCTTCTTTTTTGGGTGACTATTAGTCTGAATTGCCTTACAGGTTGGACTTCTTTCACTGTTTGTGGAAAGTTGCGGCGTCTAACAAAAGTGAAAAAGGTACATTTTTCCTAACCACAATCTAGGGGCTATCTGATATGGTCTCGGAGAAGCAGTACGCGAACTCTTTTTAAGAATATTTTCAAGATAAATTTTTCTGGTGATCTTTTGTATTTGAAGGTGCATTACCATGTTAGTCTTAGGAACAAGAACGAAAATTTGAAAAAACTTTTGGACGAGTGTTTTCACTTTAAAATACTTGAATATGTAGTTTGATTATATCCATGCTGATTAATAGCACTCTTACTCCGATTAAAAAAAGAGCGCTTGAATAGGCTTCTGATTTCTGTCTGAAGATTTACTATTTTGATTTTCTTTAACATATCTATTCCTAATGTAAGATACTATGAAATCTTAGATTTTTAAACATGAACTTCCCCTCATCAAGTTTTATGTATTCTTTTTGGTGTTGGGCGCTCCACTAGATCGATTCTGCTAAGGTAGAAGACTCTGTCCAGCAAAATCAGACNGCGTTGGTAAAGCTACAAAGATCGTTGACAGGTAACTTGCAATAAGGTTTTAGTTGAATTAGTCTGGGGGAGCTTTCAGGGATTCCTGAAATTTGATGAGAGTTTCTTATTCCTGCTACTATTTTCCTTTTGTCTTAGGAGAACTTATACACGTCTATGAACAGTTTCTTTTAGTCTCTCGATAGAGTCATATGATAAATTTTTTTGAAGTCTAAATTGTTCTTGGCAGTTATCAGGGTATGATGAAGGGCTACAGTGGAATCTTCCGTCTGGGGGAAGCCACCTCTACCTGGGATGCAGATTCCCCGGTATTTATTATTTAATTTATTTTTTGAAGTTATAAATCTTCAGATAAAACTGGACCATGTGACTTATTTCACCCCTACGAAAGTCTCATCTAATACTCAGTGAAACAAATTAAGATGGCAAGATGAGAAGTTTCATGATAAAGTCAACACGAATAAAGTCTATTGATGTTACACAAACTGGATCTAGTTATTTGTTTTCCCCCGGATTATCTTACTTATGTAAGTTTGGATTCTGTAATATCCAGGTTATCCAGCGAGAGCCGTGGGAGCATATCAAGGATAAGGACATAAAGAAAACAGCAGCGTCCTTTTATGGAGAGATATGGCAAGTCCCTCCGATGTTCTCAGCAATCAAAGTATGTTAATTTTAGTTGCAACACTTAAGTTCCTCCAATTATTGATTCTGCCGAATATAAATTTATCCGGTGTATATTTTGATTTTTATAACAATGATTACAACATCTTCTTACCCTGGATGAATAAAATTATTGATACCAGATTTACACTTTCTTAAACAATTTTTTCTTAGTATTTTCAACACGCTTAATTTTGTTATGAGTCATGAAATATGGCAATCACATGAAATGAAAACATGGTGAATCAACTCCAGCTATATCTTCAGTCAATGTAATGACCTAGTTGCTGCTGATACTATTTGTATTTAACATAAGCTTAAATCAAAGTGTGCTGATTCAGAAAAGATTGCTGTTACTTCTGTAATCTGTAATTGTTTGAGTTGTTATTTTCTCTTTCCTTTAATAAGTTCATCCATTTTTTGCCAGCTTCATCAGAATTTCTCTTGGATGACCAAGCATGAATTGGATTTAGTATTGTGTTATTACTTATTAGACTCCGTCTACTTGTGATAGGTTGGTGGTGAAAAGATGTATGAGAAAGCAAGAAGAGGGGAAAGCATCGAACTTTCACCGAGGAGGATTTCAATTTTCGAATTTGACGTGAAGCGGAGTTTAGATGACAGGTTATTTTGTTGAACTCTTCTGGTGCTAATCTTGTGCCACATGGATGTCTCACCTCTTGAAAAATCATCTCTGTGTTTATTGTCTGTGCCTAAGAATTAAAAGCCCTAGCCAAGGTTCTCTCAAAGCGTCTAAACATTCCTAGGGTGCTTCCAAAGTGTCTTACCAGCATTGAATTCTTTAGTGCTAAATGTACACTCAAGTTTTGTTTGAGGGTGAGGTGGAGAACTCATTCTGATTGAAAGCAAGAAATATATTTCTTGCAGAGTGCTTTATTGGAGTTGCACAAACTTCCTCCCGTTTGTGGATTTATTTATTAAGTACTTCAAAAGTTTTATGAGAACCTCACAAGGGTAGCATCTTCTTGATATGCATCCCCTTGATTCTGAAGCATGTCTATATTTCAAATATGCTTTCATGTGAAGCATGTCTATATTCCAGCCAATTACTCCTAGAGGAAACTGAGTAATTCTTGTACGTCTATAAATCAGACATGTTCTTTTTTTCTTTCTTTCAGATATGCTTTCATGTGAAGCAGAATTAGGATATTTGCGACAGATATACTTATAATTTACATGCATTGACATGAGCAAGTCTTTTGGTTGCTAATGGTTGTCACTCCACTAAAGCTGTTTTATTATTTCGCCAAAAGTTTCATATTGAAGATACTTTTTTTTTCTTTTTCTTCTCTCCTTTTCTCTTTTTTGAATTGGCAGACAGAATGTCATTTTCCGAGTTAGATGCTCAAAAGGTACCTATGTCCGATCACTATGTGCAGACTTCGGGAAAGCTCTTGGCAGGTAACATATAAAGATAATATTCGTTTTAATATTAAAAAAGCTTCTACATTTTGTGATAGATGATGAGAAATGACAAATGTTCGGTGATGCATAATTTCTTTTTAATTCTTTATGTTCTTCTAAGTGGATTCAAACCCAAACTGAAAATTTTACTTGCAGTTGCGCTCACTTGACAGCTCTAAGACGAGATTCAATTGGTAAGACACTGTTCTTTTAAATTCAGTTTTTATTGAAAGTCTTGGGTTGTCTTGTTTTATATCTGAAAATAGTTGTGAAAAAGGGTTCCCTTTATCTAGAACATCAAGTGATAAGAGAGGTCTTCGTTGAATTTTTGATTGCTGTGAGCAGCTTGTGGTCAGGGTTTGTGACAATGCTATTGTAGTACTAGAGAGTGTTGCCTGAATCTTGCGCCTAATAACACGGCAGAAAACACCATATATGCCTTTTACCTGAAGCTAGGTCTTGAATTCCACAAGTCGAACCCAATACTGCTTCCTGCAAGTAGTTGTCAGTACTTAGCTAATTGTGCTCTCTTTACCTCACAGGAGAGTACTCAGCAGATGATGCTTGGGAATTTCAAGAGTTGGAAGAGGCAATCACCAAAGGATATTTGTAAGATTCTTGGAAATTCCAGTGAGCAGAGTTACCCAATACCTGTGCTTGTGGAAGACTAGCAGGCAGCAGGTACTGGTGGAATAGTTGAGGTGCGCGCAAGCAGCCCGGACACCACCGTTGTAAAGAAAAAAAAATTCTTGGAGATTCCACATTTGTTGGTGGCAATTGGAGATCTATACTAGCTACCTTGACCTTAACAAAGGATTTCACTTTCGCCTCCACTTTACCTCTTTCCTTGCTTTTTCCTACTTTCCCTTAGTTTCTGGGCAGAAGTGTATAAGTTATATCCTTTATAAGTTGAAGATAAGGGTGAATGTAATAGCACTTTGTAACCCTTTCTGGTATTAATTGCACTTATTTTTTTGTTACTACCTTTAGTATGACACCTTTTTAAGTGTAAGTACAAATGAAATAGGTCTATTGCATTATGGAGTTTGTTATTTTATCCTATGTGTCGACGCACGTAGCAATTTTCACTGGCATTTTCAGCACCAAGATAAATGAAGCTGGGAGGAAGGCAGTCCCTGTGGATAATGTAACATTTGCAACAAGATAAATTAACAAAAACTTAAGTATGTTAATAGCATTTCAAATATTAAAGTTCACTACCCTCAAATATCGATGGCCAAATTTCAACTTGTAAATAATGACACTTTAGTATGACCGTACACTGATGATATCCTCAACCCTATCTTCAAGAAGTTGACATGACCATATGAATAAGTACCTATACAGGAGTTTTGACTTTGAACTCAAACAAGCATAAAACACAAGTTATCAGGAGGCTGACACAAAATGATATATATTACTAATAACAAAAAACAAGGAGAATACAGAAATTTCTTTCTACCAACTTGGAACTCTAAACCATCATTAGATATTTGCACACAACAACGTTCGATGTCCTACAAACATTCTAAATCGTGTGAGTGTCCCACCTAAGTAGTTGTAGAATTAGGGGGATCAATCCCCATTGCCTTGTAATAGGCCATCTCTGCAGTAGCCATGCGATCCTGAAACATTGTCCATTCTCTTCTACACCTTTCTCTTACCTGAACCAAAATAAATGTTGGACTTAGACATACAATCAGAGATCAGCATACTCCTTTTGTAACAAGATTACACAAACACTTGCAGAATCATGCATGATTGGGAAGTATGGGTTTGAGTTCACATACATTGACACATGTTTTGTGATATATAATGAAAAGAATAAGCATCTCAAATTTCATCTATGAACACAAAAATTCGAACGTGGTTTGACATATCCATATGCAAATTCAAAATGTGATTAAATTGCTATTAGTTTTCTTATCCAAATTTTCCTTAATCATCAGTTTTTCATGGTCAAATTTCAGTATACAGGAGAATGAAATACAGCACATACCCCTTCCCATGGTGCCTTGCCATTCTCTGATTTACCCTGTCGAAATAAAATAGAAAATAATCATTACATCCAACTTTCATACTAATCTAATATACTCCAACAAGATAAAGTTGGATATACCTGGCTCCCAAGTGATGGAACAGTTTGATGCACAATCCACTGAGCATCTACAACTCCTATCTTTTCATGTGCCGGCTGCTCATCCAAAAGCATTATTAGGAAAAAGACCATTTGGAACCGAACATAAGGGAATTTGTCCCGCACATCTTAAAGTATACTACTAACCTCCACACATCTCCTAAGAGCAAAATCAAGACCCCACCCATGGACCAAGTCATTCTGCAATAAAGAATCAAGAATTCAGATGTGCAGTAACCAAATGGGTAGCAATCCTCCTCCCCCCTTCGCCTGCATATTCTTTTTCGTTGGCTGCAATGAATGGAAGGATATTTAATAATTGATACCTGGATCATATGCCAAACACACCGCCAGGCCTCTCGAGAGAAAACAGGTGCCATGATCTCGATAAATCTGATTGCCAGCGAAATAACAGTTAATATTGACACCAAACACAAAGTGACATCAGTAGTTATTGGTAAATATCATGCATTCCATACGCTGCACAAGGTGGCAAATGTGGATCAGCGCACCAGCCTGGTCTTTCTTCTGTTTCCCTGTAAGCAGAAGCAATAAACTGTATATGAGATCAAGCTATGTGTGCATGGGATGCTTTAATCAGAGCAGTTGTAGGTATAATGCAAGTACTATGTTCCCTACTTGTGAATTTCAGTGTCATTTCGCCCTTTTGTCATTTGCCACGTCAACCCACTGTTTGGTGCTAAACCAGGTTGGGAAATATCCAAACCATGTTTCGCCACCAACTTTATGTATCTGCAGTTGCATTGAAGCCTTAAGAGTCCACAGACAATTCAACATATTGATACAAACGACTCTGAGATAATCATAACTTACTCCTCCGCATTAAAATTCTCAAGCCCCAAGTCTTCATCCCAGATGAATATATAGTCATAAGGTGCTACAATGTCAGGATGCAGAAAACGTTTTGCATACCACCTTTCAACAAAATGAATAAACTTTATACTTACCACAAATACATCAAAAGTGTTGAATAATTGAGGATAAAAAAGAATTCATGATAATAGTTACCATTTAGTTTGTTTCGGTGTACTGACATGGATAGCCCGCTTTGACCACTCAAGGTCATCCCATTCACTTGTTTGACCATCATAGTGAAACAGCATAATCGTAAAGTTCTCTGAAAACTGTTTACAGTACAGAAAAATAAGCATGCCGAGATACACAAGTAAAATTTTGGACTTAAATCTACCTAAGTTGGCAGCAAACCAACCCTTTTTGTTAACCTAGGTTTTCTTTCTATCTTTTCGCTCATCTCTGGTAACCCTAATTCGTAATGAGATTAAAAGTGGGATTGACGATAAGATTGATTCTTTGTTGGGAAAAAAGTAATGATTCACTGCCGTGTTAAATGATTTGCAGAGCTTCACCAATAAACTAGCATGCATGCAACACAGACTAAGGAAAACATTATACATAAGAACAGCGAGGATAGCACATAAAACAAGACAAGACTATGCCGGAAAAAAGAAAGAGGGGGGGGAGGGGGTTGGGGAAGCAAAACAATAAACCCAAAAACAAAAAATGAAGCAAAAACATGATATAAAAACTCTTTTGAGATGGGAGGTGGGGCTAGTGGAATTAGCAAAGGAAGGTAAAATTGCCCTTATCAGAAGTCCAATCCCGGTTCCTCAAACACAGTCTCATCTGAATGAGATGAGCCAAGGACTGAATTTTATGGTGCAAAAGTTACAAGCATATACTCCCTCTGTTTATAAAAGAATCAACCTATTACTATTTGGGGAGCCAAACGAGGTTTTCTTTGACCATGCTTTTGCAAATAGTTTTTAAATATTTTGAATTGTTAACTAATGTGACTCGTAGTACCTTTTATGTAGTTTCTAAATATGTAATTTTTATTTCAAAAAGCTTAAAGAATCTATGTCTGAATTCACACCGAGAGTTAGTCAATTTGACCCTCGTACTCCGAAAAGGTTCAAACAGATTGAAAGGGAGAGAGTATTAGTCACGCTTCTGATCCCTTATCCATGAATAAAAGAACCCCTGAAAATGACAGAGAAGGGATCACAATAGCAAGTACAAGGAAAAAAAGCTAGAGAGGCTTGGGCACAACCTTTTTCACTGCTGCATCAATGTTACTCTTCTGCTTGAGGCCGACTGTGAAAGTCACAAGGTACCTTGGTTTGATGATCAAGTCCTGCATATCAACAATGAAGCTGATTATCATAGAGGGATATAGTAATTGTTATGTTTTCTCATCCCAAAGAAAAAGGGAAGGAAAATAAAGAGAGAGAGAGACATGGACATCGTTCATTTTTAACGTACAATGGCATACTAAAATCATATTTAGCTGCCCTTGAAACAGTTCTTATCAGTCATCATAGCGGGATAGCATAAATTTCAGTGTCCAACACTATATGGCAAACTATAGCAAAATGTTTATTTGAGCACCAGAACCAGAAGGATGCAAGCATGACTTTAGCCCACTTCAGCAGTTCCTTCAATATTTTTGTTCGACTGAGCAACTACTGGAGAATCAACTACTATCCAGAAATCAACTTCAAAAAATGGTTAACTCCATGAAAGGGATTACGGAACAAAGAGGGTATCAGCAATGTGTTAATACATGGATTAAATTATTTGTATATCAAGTCTCAAATCATGCCATCAATTTGCATAACGTGAACTGGTAGCTGTTACCAAATATAAACAAAATCAATCGAGTGCATCAAATTAGAATTACAGCTGAATTGACAAACCTCACTGGGCAGGCCCCATAACCTCCGAGTATAAAGATCAGACTCAGATGCTACGATACCGGGTGGTAACCTCTCGGCACCTCTGGGATTTGACGGAACCCAAATCTGCTAGATTGCCACAAATAGCATAAATATCGAACAGCAGTTGTCTATAAACTTCCAAAATAAGTGCAATCTTATATGTGTGACAAGTAAAATACCTTTGGGTCATTATTCTTGTGTGAACTGCCACCGCGTCCTTTCAAGGAATTCAAGACATTTAATAGAGCTTGAGTTGACAGGCCTGAGTACTTGTCCTCTATAGTTAGATCAATTGATTGGAAAAGATTAGTAGGTAAGGGCAGCTGCAAAATTGAAATCCACAAGCACATTACCTTACCAGCTCTTATTCAACTGATACTTTAAAAGAAAAAATGGCACATTAAATACGATTATATCAAATTCATTATCAAAGTAGATCCCCTTGCCTTGGTCAATGAAATTGTAGGAAAGGTTACACCAAGGAAAAACCCAAATACAACTCCAATAAAAGTAGTCACGAAAAGCCTCATTGTTTCATTCCGTCTTCTCGAGATTGGGCTGTAGATATTCAACAGTAAGCTAAGCACTCATTACCACTTTTAACAATAAATAAACGGATCAACCAGTCAAAATCAATCACGACTCAATCCCAAACTACTAAGGATGCCTATATGAATAAAGACCCTTAAAATACTTCAAATATTAAAACCTTCGCTTCATAGGCGTCGCCATCTTAAGTCACAATCCTTTAGTAGTAGTTTCACAACCAGAAAAGAAGAATCTGCAATGAGTTTACTAACATCTGCTTAGCCCAAATGTGAGTACAAATATTTCCAGCGCTCCACACTAGAAATTCACTATTTTTGTGGCAAATTGGCCAACAACCTACAACCATAAAGTAAAAAAAAATCAGTACTTTCACTTTACTGGAGTAAAGTTTCCATTTTTCCCTTAATTCTATTACAAATGTTCACAAAGATTTATTGTACTTTGCAATTACTAAAACTTGAGTAAACTTCCCAATTTTCCTTTCATTCTATTCCAAATGTTACAAAATCTTCATTAATTAGTTCACTTGGTCTATAGTAGTAAGTTCAAATTCAAATCTTGCATAGTTTCTAAAAGAGAAATAATTTCAAAAATTGCTTTAAAATGCTCTAAAAACATAAATAATATTCAAATATTATCCTAAAAAGACGCAGAATTTACTTAAATATGCTCTAAAAACATATCTGAAGACAAAAAAAAAGGTTTAAATTCTGAATCGAACCTGAAGTTGCTGATCTGGAGGATTACGAGAGTTGCAAAAATTCCCGTTAATGTTTCATCGAAATCCTTAGGATGTTTAATATATGGAAAAAATCCAACCTTGGAATTGTCAAAGAAAGCATATATACTCTCTGTCCTGATGTCTTTGGAAGTAAACGAAAAAATTAAAAAGAAAAAATTTAGTCTCTTCTATGAGTTCTACCTGGGACCGGTCCTTTCCTTTTCAGTACAGTAATTTTTTAGTTTTTGTTTTTGCTTTCTGAGTAACAGACACACCTTTTCTACTTTATTAAAAATCAAATTTTACACCTTTTAGTCATTTTGTAAGGAGGTTAAATAAGCATTAATTGAAGGGCAACCTTAGCGTAATGTGACCGGGAGGTCACACATTCAAGTCGTGAAAACAATCTCTTGCAGAAATGTAGGCTAAGACTGCGTACAATAGACCCTTGTGGTCCAGTTCTTTCTCAATCCTGCGCTATGCTTAATGCATCGTGCTGCCATATGACTAGGAGGTCACGGGTTCAAGTCGTGGAAATAGCCTCCTGCAGAAATGCAGGATAAGACTGTGTACAATAGACCTGGTGGTCCGGCCCTTTTCCGGACCCTGCCTATCACCGGAGCTTAATACACCAGCCTGTCCTTTTTTTTTAAATAAGCATTAATTGTTTTGAAATGAAATTATAACATATATAAAAAAAATAAGAAAACCAACAATGATGAGACACGGCACCTACACGGGCCATCATCTATAGTATATCTGGTTAATGGAGTGAGTGCACAAACCTTAGAGCCAACGACGGAGCCATGTTTATTTAAGGGGATAAATTCAAAAATAGTCAGATTTACAAGTGGTCATTCAAAAATAGTTACAGTTTTAAAAGTAATCAAAATTTAGTCATTTTTCATATAAAGATAAATCTGAACGAAAATACTATTCAAGATCCGAAAAATACTCCCGCATAAGTATACTGGAACTCCAATATATTATACTGGAGTTCTAGTATAATATACTGGACTTCCAACATAATATACTGGAGTTCCAATATAATATACGTTCATACACCGGTGCTCCAATCTCCAGTATATTATGCTGGAACTTTCCACGTATTGGAAATCCAACATAATATGCTGGAAGTTGATATACAGGTGCACCGATCTCTAGTATATTAAGTTAGAACTTTCCGTGTTGCAGCAAAATAGTGGCTATTTTTTAGTGACTTTGCAAACGCTGACTATTTTTGAATGACCAATCCGAAAACTGTGTTATTTCACGTATTTAAGGAGTGTCAATTAATATCCCTTTGTCGAGAAAATTATACTGCGCAACTAGGTAATTTTTCTTTTTAAATGTATATATAATATATTTTGATATTCTTTGGCTTTTTCGTAAGTTTATTTCTTTATATTTTGATCTATTTAGTATAAATTTCGGTATTGTTACTGCTTAAAGCCCAAGGTTTAATTGTTCTGAGGGTTACCATCACTCTGATTACCAAGATTTAGGCAAATGTGAACAAATTGAAACATATGAAGTATCAACCTTTAAATTAATTGGTGACTAACTGTTGTTACAGCTTAGAGAACATGGGATTTTTGCTTTTTCTCGTTGGCTTTTCATTTGAACGTGACTAGAGATTTGGAAAGCTTCGTTTACGCCAAAGGCAAAATTAGCAACGGTCCCACATACTAATCATATAGTATACTTTTTCTTCACTAAACATTAATTTTTGTCCATCTCCAAATAAACTTTAATAACTATTTGAAATTGTTATTAAATTTCAAATAACAATTAGAGTCCTTGTTGCATGCATGGAAACAGGAAAATAAGATTAGTGCAAAACACCAAAACTAGAGAATCAAATATAGTAATTACTAGTCTTTAACTCGCATAATTCCTCTTAATTTACATACATCGTTAGTTCCTTAGTGGCTTTATTTTGAATGAAGTGATGCTTTGATTTGAGGTAAAGCAGAGCCTATTTGCTAACGGAAGACTTAGTTTATAACTTCTAGATGTAAAAATAGCACGGGCTAGCCAGTTTTCGGATTGGTAATTAAAAAATAGCCAGTGTTTTCAACATCAGGTAAATGGACCTTGGACCTAATTCAATCCCAAAAAGTAACTTATGAGTTAAGGATTATCCAAGACCATATAAGGAATCTAGGAACTCCACATCCCAACGATGTAGGCCGACTCAACAGTTCGATGAAGAGCCCATTTGGATTAGATGATTTTAAATAGCTGATAAGTTTGAAGTGCTGAAAAGCATTTTTAAGTGCCGAAACTGATTTTTTTAAATAAGCATTTACGTGTTAGGATAGACGTGCTGAAACTGATAATAAGTAGTTGATGTGTTTGGTAAAAGTGCTGATAAGTTGTTCTTTTATTAAATGACTAAAATATCCTTAAAAATTTTACAAAATATTATAAATTAAAAAAAATTGTAAAGAAAAAGATGAACAACGAATATGGAACGAAAAGAAAGAAAGAAAATTTATATTGTGAATAAAATTTTGTGAATTAGAAAATATTGTTAAGGATAAACTAGTAAAAGTCTTGGTCAAACTAAAAGTGCTTATAAGCTAAAAAGCCATAAGTTGTGGGTGACCAACTTATGACTTATGACTGATTTTAGCTTATAAGCACTTTGGTTATT